GGGAATTCTGGGAGTTGAAGTCCGCCCATCTTAAAGCTGCCAAGGTTGAGACATACTGACTTAGAGGGACCACAATAATTCAAAACAGCCATCCTCCATTGAAATAGCTTCCACAGTCCAAGTATGTTATTCTAGCTATTTCACCACATGCCATTCTATATGTGGCTAACATTAGCTGGATCATGTCTAGTATCTACGCAAGAAGGGAAAAAGTGAACATTGGGTGTAGGGGGAAAAAAAACTAATTGTAACGTATATCGTTTTTCTTCAGCAGTACGGTAGCCAAATTATTTACCAAGTTGATCATCAATACTGATTGCTAGAAAATAAATTATGAAAAAAGTCAGCCATTTGGAGTGATGTTTCATAATCAGCCAAACAACAACCTTTGTCCTTTGCTTAAAATATATACCCACTTATTCATCATCTACCTTTGCTTTTTGTCTTTGACTCAGAGTGCTTATTAATTTGTTATGATAGTAGGCTGGAAAGGAATTTTATTTGCATTCAAGAAGTTCTTGACATTTTCTGAGCTAAGGATTCATCAGCCTTTAAATAGCATGTTAGGAACTATACAAGATAAGGAGGAATGGTTAGGGGAACTTCCTTAACAGGTGAATTCAAATCTGTCCAGTTCCAGGGATAAGCCAGACTGATGCTAGTCCATGATATCTTAAGCCATCTTTCCCTACATGCGGTATTTCTTTCTTTCTTTTTTTTAACTTGGGTGCGCTGATGTCTCAGTCCTTGATCTGTGCCACGCCAAGTTACATACATACACCAGCCTTTCCCCAAATTGGTGCCTTCCAAATGTGATGGCTACAGTTCTCAGACTTCTCATCTAAGTATGGAAATTGTATTCTAATATATCTGGAGAGCATCAGATGGGAAAAAAAGATGGGGCGAGTTACACACTAGAGACAGTCAATCTGCACTTCTGATTTGAGAACCCTTCTGCAAGAGGTTGGTTCAGATCTCTAGTAAGAGCTGCTTGTCTACCTGTCCTCTCCCTGAAAGCAGTTGAGAAAGAAATGGCATCTGAAAGGCAAGTAGAAGTTGAGGGGGGCGGGGAGAGAGAGGTGTCAGAAAAAATAAAAAGAAAGGGCCACAGAGTAAAAGCATTTCCACCTAGTATTGGCTATGGCTCCACCCTTTGCTTGCTTCATCACTTCCCTCCTTGGGAAGGAGTTTGGTAGCCTATTTTCTAACAACTTTTTTGTTATTAAAAGATATAAAAAATATTTAAAACATTGGAAATATGCTATTTACTTTCCCACCTCTAATTGTTTTTTATTGGCTCTATTTTCAGGGCTCACTGCACGAGATGTAAATGAATGCCTAGGTTTTAATTTAGGTGTTACTTCCACCATAGATAAGGCAGACACCAAGGCAGAGATTAAAGCTAAGCAATGTAAAAACAATAAGTTTAAAGATGGTAAGTACATCAGCTCCTACCTTCGTCTGACATTTTGATGCCCAAGTTTGCATTTAAATTGACGCATATGTCCCTGATACAAGAACTAAGATGTGTTGTTAGGACATGTCAACCAAGCACTGTATAACCACATTAAATAATGAACAATATACTGTACGTAGTACATCAATATATTAATGCCAGTATATTTCACTAGCATGCCAATCATTATATAATGCTATGATATAGTGATAATTTGTAGCTTTATGTCATATATTTGTGTGAATGAACTTTCATAAAAATTAGACTCACACAAAGCAAGCAAAGAAGGCAGAATTTTTTGCTCAGGAAGATTTCAGCTGATGCAGCATATGGAAGAGTGCCAGCATGAAGAATCTGACAAAGACACAATAAATTCTATTTCCCAAGACAACGGATGGCTCCCTCTTGAAGTGATGAGGCAATAGCACTCTGGTGAAAGAGCTCCCAGACATGTGAGAAAAGTGCCAAGGTGGGACTGGCCAACTCTCAGCACAATGGTCAAGACTTGTGGGAAGGTCACACAGATGAGTCCTGCAGTCTGTGGGAACCCTCACATAGAACAACGTTCTATATGGATGTCCTACCTTGAGATTTATGGAATTCAAAGCTAGCCTGCCAATCTGGATTTTGAACTGGGTAATTCAACTGGGCAAATATAGTTGGCAGAAACTCCCAGGTGGTCCATTCCTAACCATATTCAGCAGCATCATTTTCCTTTCTTCCAAGTGAAAGTGAAAAAAGAAAATCAAATGAATGTTCACTTGGTCCTATTATCATCATCATAATCATCACACAAGAAAATTGTTCTGATAGGGCCACTCTTCCTGTTTTTTCACCTCCTATTTTTTTTTCTCTTCCAGTTGATGAAGTGAGAAGGAGTGGGGTTATCCAAGATGTGGTCTCTCTAGTTCAAGGTGGGACAACCGCTACTTTAACAAAGTTGAATGAAGCACTTTCATCAAATGTCAGGGTAGTTGATATAGAACAATATGTTGAATGGGCTGCTACACTACCTCAAGCTCCTACAGTGATCAGTCATCAGGTAAGAGGGTTTTCTTCTATCAATAAGTTGGAGACGTTTTCAATAAACGTGAACCTAAAAATGAAACAGTTTTCCTCTCTCTTGAGGAAAAAATTTAACAGTTGCAAACATTTCAGAGTCAAAGATTCTGGTCAAGTAACACTACAATCTCCCTCAAATGAAGTTTGACTTCTGGAGATGAAATGAACATTTCCATGAGATTTTCTGGAAATGGTTTGCCATAGCCTTCTTCAAAGATGTTTTTTTGACTTTGCATTCTAAAGTCCTGGGATTTCCTGGTCAACCAACCAACCAACCAACCAACCAACCAACCAATCAACCAACCTCCCTCCCTCCCCCCCCCCCCCCCCCTCTTCTTTTTTCTTTCTTTCTTTCTTTCTTTCTTTCTTTCTTTCTTTCTTTCTTTCTTTCTTTCTTTCTTTCTTTCTTTCTTTCTTTCTTTCTTTCTTTCTTTCTTTCTTTCTTTCTTTCTTTCTTTCTTTCTTTCTTTCTTTCTTTCTTTCTTTCTTTCTTTCTTTCTTTCTTTCTTTCTTTCTTTCTTTCTTTCTTTCTTTCTTTCTTTCTTTCTTTCTTTCTTTCTTTCTTTCTTTCTTTCTTTCTTTCTTTCTTTCTTTCTTTCTTTCTTTCTTTCTTTCTTTCTTTCTTTCTTTCTTTCTTTCTTTCTTTCTTTCTTTCTTTCTTTCTTTCTTTCTGCCTTTGCCTGAATAACAAGGCAGTTCTTTCAATTTGAGACCTTCTAGTTCACAAGCATGCAACTTTTTAGGGCTATGGGCCATGTTCAGCCTTCCACTGGGGTGCATTGCAAAACATTAGGCAGGGCCTGGAGTTAACATGTGGAGTTAAGGTAAAATTTATAGTAAAATTAATCAAATACAGTTTAACATGATTGTTTCCCATATATGTAATAATTATTCTATTCTAAATTTAAAATTACAATTTTGTGGCAATCTTTCATTGGGGGCCTTATGCAAGATTTTTTAAACCTCTGGACCCCTACTTTAGTTTTTCCAGCAACCTCTACTTTTACAGGTAGCAGCAGATCTTCATAGATATCATTTGCATTAGAACCTGGTTGGATAGTCCCAGCTCATCCTGTTCTCATGATCCATCCATCTGCATCCTATAGACAAAACTTCACCCTAACAAGTTATGTTTTAAAGTACAATGTTTCTAGACAAAGGTTCTCTGATTTGAGATGGTAATGTATAATAAAATAAAATTGTGCTAAATGGATATGCTAGATCTCTTGCCCTATCCTGATGACACCACTTTCTGAAGGCCCACTTCTAACACCCCCTCATGGAAACCTTAATACCATGAAAGAATTACTAGGAGCTTGATATAAAGGTTGTCCCTTTACAACAACTTCCATTAATGATGGAGCTGTAGTAAACTAATAGTAAAGTCTGCATTTTAAAGAATCAGAGTATTTACTTAGGAGAGGTGAGTATATCTGTAGCAGAGCATGGATGTTCTCATGTTTAAGTGCTGTATTCTGTGTTTTCTTCATGCACAGATAATAATGGTAAGCAATTATTTAAACTGAAAAAATGCACACATAGATGTGGTTAAATATTTCTGCAGGTACTCCCAATTTCTGAACTTATACCACTGAAAATCCAAGACTCCCGAATAAAGAAAGAAAATCTGGACAGAGCTATAGAAGATTATGTGGCTGAATACAGTGCATGCAAATGCCAGCCTTGTCTAAATGGCGGGACAGCAATGCTGCTGGATGGAAAGTGTGAATGTGTATGCACCCCATATTACAAGGGAGAAGCCTGTGAAATACCCAAGTCAGTTTTCATACCAGGTGAGAAGTCATTCAATGACTTAGCATATATTTAGATGACTCTCTTGGCTCTACTGTTATTAAAAAATATACACAACTTCCTTATGTTGAGTCAACCCGTCCTGTATTTTGAAACAAAAAGTCTACATATGCACTTAACCAATATGTAAGAATTGGTAATCTAAGGCCTAGAGTAAGATTTGTCACAAAAACCGGGACTTACGGTTTTGGCTATTAATGTGTGCTTTAGAGACCTTTAATATAGAACGAAAACTTGGTTATTTGAACACAAGGAAGTTGGATTAGAAGGCAGAGGCTGAAAATTAATAAATAAAATAAGGTGATAGGGAGCAATAGCAACTTATTAGCATACTGGAGCCTCAGACACAAGGAAGGACTCAAATAGGTGCTTCACACATTGCACTGAGCCATAATATGATGTACTTTTTGTGGTTTGCTTATGGCTTCTTGAAGAGGGGGTATACCACTACCTCCTCCAAGTCTGATGAAACCACCCTGTCCATCAAGGATGAATTCATCGCCACTTGGATCCAACCACACGTGACCTCTTGGGAGGCCTTAACTAACCCAGAGGGACATGGATCTAATATACAGTCCCGAGAACCCTGTCCACTTTCTCAAGAATTACAGGATCAGATTCTTCCCAGATAACAGGGCAAGACCAATTGACCAAGTCTCAGTCAATTCAACTGCAACATTTCAAGTCCAACTTGGAGCGAATCTGACTGACTAGAGCTGACAGGTGCCTAGAATGTTCCTCACAGCAGCCCTGCAGATGTTCTTGTGACTCTTTCTTACCCAGCATGGGGCAGGTCATTTTGAAAAGGGCTACTGATTGACTATCTATGGACACAATAAGAGCAGAAAAATAATTGTATTTTGCCACTAAAAGTAATGGGCCCTAGAAATTTACATTATAAGCAAATAAAAGTATAACAGGCTATTACACTAAAAAAAATCCATAACCCAATAAGTTATGGATCAAAACCATCCATTCCCAATCAGAAAATATTCCAATTATTCTTAACTGAGCAGGAATTGCAGCTGTGAGTACATGGCTATAGAAGAGTTCAGATGTAATTAGAACAAAGCTAGTGTCTAATTATAATTTTTATATAGATAGAATGAATGAGAATGATTTTGTCCCATAGATTTAGAAAGTCCTCTTATTGTTTTTGACCTGGTCCACACACTCTACTAAAGTATGCATTGTTTAACCATTGTTTCTTGGAAAAAACACTGTTGGTGGATGTATGCAATATAGATAGCCCAAATAGCAAGTCAATTTACAATTAAGATCTACTGTAGTGATTGTGAGATTCTGAAGGTAGATGGAGTTAGTTCAATGGTCTGAAGTTAGACAAATAAATTCCTTCTGATCCTGATCCTGATGCAGCTCAAGCCATTCATGGGAGCTGGAGCTGCTGGTCCAGCTGGTCCACGTGTGAGCAAGGAAAACGCCATCGAACAAGACAGTGTAATAATCCTGAACCTGGATTCGGGGGCAAGTCATGTCCTGGAGCAAACTCAGAACCAGGCTATTGTTAATTGTAGAAGACCACTAACAGGTTTGTAGCTTCTGGATATGTATAATGAATATGGTGCCATTGTAACTTAAGACTTTGGGACACTTTGGATTAAACACTGAAGTGGAAGCAGCTTATCCACTTCATTTGGAGAGATAAGGCAGAGGAGGCGGGAAGGCAGGCAGGCAGGCAGGCAGGCAGGCAGGCAGGCAGGCTTCCCTACATACTTCTTCCTTTACATCCCCTAAACAAAGTCTTTTTTTTTTTAATCCACACTCAATCATGACCGATTCTGCAGCGACTGCCTA